TGGTGGTGGTGGTGGTGGTGGTGGTGGTGGTGGTGGTGGTGGGCTGGGGGGGGGTCACCCCTTCTTTGTAGGTAATGGAGAGGGATGGAGGGGCAGGGAAAAACGCCGGCTGTGGGGAGCGACGCCGGTTTCTTTTAAACGGTCAAGGGAAAAGCCCTGGCGCCGGGAAGCGAAAGGAGGCCAGAGGTGAAGCCCTGGGTGCGGAGCTACTCAGGGCGCGGCGCCCGGGCAGGGCGAATCGCGGGGGGAGCCACCGGCCCACTGCAACCGGGAGGTGGCGGGGGCAGATGCCAAACACCGGAAAAACCGCTCCCGACCCCAACACACCTTCAAGTGCAAACTGTAAGCGAAACCCCGTGGGCCCTCCCCCTCTCCCGGCCGGAGCCCAGGCGCACGCTCGCTGCTCCAAACCCCGGGACGCTGCCCACCTTCAGGAGACTGAGCCAGGCGCCCAGGGATCACACTCAGACGCCAAGTTTCGCTCAAAGACGCAGGTGCAGCGCGCTACGAGGAAATTGAGGCACAATGGACCCCACTTCCTTGTCTCCCAACTACTCCCTTAAATTGCTATGTCTTGTTCGGTCCTGGCTGCTAGTTGGGTACTAGAACCTTCTCCATGGCTGGGCCCACTTCCTTTGGTGTGCCCGAGGCTCTAAAGAAAACGTACACACTAAAGCTTTCCTGAACAGGCCAAAGCAAATGTTTTCCTCAGTTCCCGCTCTCACCCCAAACCCCCTACTCATACCTTTTCCTTTGTACTTCTGTGTCTGCTTGGCCAACCCGCAAGCACTCCCCCTCCTCTAGCTAAGCTACCTCTGCACCGAGGCTTAGACGCCCACCATGACCACCCCCCCCCCCCAGCCACCAGGTCGGAAGGTGACGTGGTAGGGCCTTTAAACGTGTGAGAGAAAAGCTCCAGAGGGGACGTTTCCTCGAGTTTTAGGTTTCAAACTTATCTACTCTCGGAAACCGAAATCCGTCTGAGGTATTACTAGTCGGGCCCCAGGTATCCACCCTTTATATTCATGGTGTGAAATCAGGCAAGCACACACACCGCAGGAACCCAGCCGGGTGCGAATCTTGAGAACCTGTCAGGATGCGCGTCTGGGGAGGATGAAGATCGCGCTTCCCCCACCGGGAGCAAGCGCAGGCGGAGCGGGCAGCCGCCGAGGATTCGGGCTGCGGGAGGGGGCGGGGCGGAGTTGGAGGAGCCCAGGGACGAGCCGTGGCGCTTCCCGGCAGGACCGTGCGGGCGGAGGCGCTGCGGCCGGCGGCGCAGGTAGCAGCTCGCGTCCCAGGAGAGCGGGAGGAGGCTGGGCTCTGGCGGGGCCGGGCAACGCTCAAGGTACCACGAGGGTGCTCGGTACCATCCTCGTCTGCAGCTCGAGCTCCAGCGGCGCGTGCTTTCCGCACCCGGGCTTCGGGATGCAGGGTGGGAAAGGGGCCCCCGCGGTCCAGCGGCCGCCTCGCCCCCCACCCCCGGTCCGCGTGCGACGCTCCCCGGCCCGCAGGCGCCGCGGGGGCAGGGACTGGGCGCGGAGCGAGGTTGGGAGGGACCTGGAAAAACCACCCAGATTGCATTGCAGTGGGCGAGGCCGCCCGGAGGAGCCGGTTCCCCAGAGCCGCCTCCCCGCGGGGCGTTCGCGGAGCGCGGTTCCCAGGTGCTTGGATTTGCCTGGGCCGGGAGGTTCCGCCTGGAGGGGACGCGGGGCTCGGTTGCGTGGTGGCCCACGCCCGGCGGATCAAGCGCTCGCGACGACTGCGAGGAGGGCCAACGCCCGGCGGCCGACGGTGGCTGAGAAAGTGGTTACAGCCGCTCGGGAAGTCCTTCGCCGCCAGTCCTCTGTGGCCTCTGGTACTTGGATTAATCATTTGTGTAGTGCGTTTGGATCACCTGAGAACTTTATTTTCCGCTCGTTTATCAGGGATCCCGCGGCGCTGTCCACGTTAGAATCCAATCCCAGAGCCGCTCCTTTTCAGAGACTCGTCTTCCTGTTTAAGGAAGTCGGATCCCCGGGTTCTGAGGTTTTTCATTTAAATTTGAATGTGTACAACTAGGTTACAAGGACAGGGATTTTGTTTTGTTCCGTAACGTATTCCCAGGGTTGGAACAGAGCCGGACGTACACTAGGCACTCAACAAATATTTGTTGAAAGATTTTAATGAGTAACACCCACCCATTTTTGCAGCTCTTGTTTCCTAGCGAGGGCAGAGTTCATTACTGAGAAGGCAAAATTCTGAAAATGGGAGTCTACAGGTAATTTAAGTCTCAAGTGTTTAAAAAGAGAGGCTAATTCTAAGACGCACAAACCTACTTTTGTTAAATAAACTCGTAAAATGCAAGAATGCCAAGGTTGGGGGAATCTATGCAACACTGCAGTTCTGAATACAAAAATGATTTACTGTCTATCCCACCATTTAGAATAATTCTAACATTTAAATATGTGATTCACACAGTAATAATTCTGGGAGGGACCTTGAAGGGTGTGGGTCACTCTACCTATGGTCTTCACTCAAGATCACACTTAAAACTCCCCTAACGAATGAGAATCTTTTTGTGGTGTGTGTGGGTGTGCTTAGCAGCGGAGACCCAGTTGTGGGACACGCTACAGAATATCTTGCCTGTATTCATGAAAATTAAGGTTATGAAGGACAAAGACTGAAGAACTGTTCTATAGGAAAGGACTTTATGAGACATGACCACTAAATGCAGCATGAATCCTGGACCCGGAACTTTTATCCACCCCCCGCCCCCCACCCCCGTCGTTTAATGGACATTACTGAGGCGCGCCTTGGTGGCTCAGTGGGTGCAGCGTCTGCCTTCTGCTCAGGTCTTGATCCCAGGGCCCTGGGATGGAGCCCCTAATCCGGAACCCTGCTCAGTGGGGAGTCTGCTTCTCCCTCTGCCCCTCACTCTGCTTGCGCGCTCTCTCTCTCAAATAAATAAATAAGATCTTTTTTAAAAAATGGACATTGTTAAGATAATAGGAAAATTTGAGTAAGGTCTGTAGATTAAATAGTAGCATTGTCGGGACGCCTGGGTGGCTCAGTTGGTTAAGCGGCTGCTTTCGGCTCAGGTCATGATCCCAGCGTCCTGGGATCGAGTCCCACATCCGGCTCCTTGCTCGGCAGGGAGCCTGCTTCTCCCTCTGCCTCTGCCTGCTTCTCTGTCTGCCTGTGCTCGCTCACTCTCTCTCCCTCTGTCCCTGACAAATAAATAAAAATAAAATCTTAAAAAAAAAAATAATAGCATTGTCTTAGTGTTAATTTCCTGATTTTTATATTACTGTGGTTTGGCAGGAGAATATCCTTTGTGTTAGGAAATACCCACTGTTTAGGGATAAAGGGAATTATGTATATAATTCTGCTCTCAAATGATTATAAATATATATATGCATATATATATATATATATATATATATATGAGAGAGAAAATGATAAAGCAAATGTGGCAAAATGTTAACATTGGTGAATCTGAGTGAAGGAATTTTTTAAACTATTCTTTGCAACTTTAGAAGCTTTTCTAAAAAATTTTAGAGGACTTTTTGCAGCCACAACCATTTGGCTTTTAACAAGGCTCTGTCTGGTGATTTTCTATGCTAACCTAACCCTTCTTCCTTTAGAATGAATCAATTTTTTTTTGTCTTTTCTTTGCTGAAAGAAGGAAATAAATAAAAGTCATCACATTTTTTGGTATAACAATCCTCTTGAATCCTTTAAAGTTGCACTTAAATAACTTTCCTAGACTAAATTACTGCAAGATCCTGAAGCTTTCGTTGTGAACCTTTTCTACTTTTAATTATCTTCATTACACTCCTTGGACCCTTTTCTTTTTGTCACTTTTAGAGAACAGCTCTTGAACTGGACAAAATTCAGATGTCTCTACCATGGCCTGACCATTGACACAGTGGTATCTCTATGTCATATATATTTTTTAAGATATTTATTTATTTGTTTGTTTGTTTTAAAGAGAGAGGGTGTGCAGGTGGGGGGGGGGGCAGAGAAGCAGAGGGAGAGAGAGAATCTGAAGCCAACTCTGCCAACTGTGGAGCCCAAAGTGGGGCTTGATCTCACAATGGTGAGATCATGACCTCAGCTGAAACCAAGATTCAGATACCTAACTGACCGAGCACCCAGGCACTGCTCTATGGCATTTTCTTATAACTTGTAATGCAGTTCCCTTTTTAAAGACTATAGTAGTAGCACTACGTTTGCTGGCTCCAGTTTCGTTTGAGATCTCTAGATCTTTCTTGGAGTTCTCAATTGCACACACATACCTAGCTATTCTCTTATACTCGTAAGAAAAGAGTTTTCAGGGGATGCCTGGCTCATTAAGCATCTGCCTTCTGCTAGGGTCATAATCCCAGGGTCCTAGGATCAAGCCCCATGTCACGCTCCCTGCTCAATGGGGAGCCTGCTTCTCCCTCTTGTCTGCTGCTCCCCCTGCTTGTGCCCTCTCTCTCTGACAAATAAATAATAAATCGTTTTTAAAAGGATTTAAAAAGTAAATCGAAGTTTGGGTCTTTGAATAGACATCATGAGCAAATCTCACCCTCCTGAGTTGAAAAAAATTTATGGACAAGAAATTATCATTGAGATTAAATGGTGGCAGACATGTCCAGTGAATATTGTGGGGATTCGACCCCTTTATAAATCTTGTGATGTAAGTGTGGCGATGGCAACACGTGGGGGAACAAGAATATTGGAATAGCGGTTATACAGTGAAATAATATCATTGTATTAGAAGCCTCGGAACAGGTATAAGCAATAGGTGTGTTCACTGGAAGAAATCAGCTGCTGCCACATGTCCCCTCTACATAGCACCCGTTTTACTGCAAAATAAAAACCAGGTCATGTGCCTTTTTATATTGAACTTTTTTGTTAAATCAACTTTAGTAATAAAGTGAATTGAATGTTCTTGAATTAGAGTGGCAATGGTTAGTGGTGAATATACTAAAAACCACTGAATTGTACACTTGAAAAGGATGAATCATACACTTGAAAAAGGTGAATGAGAATTAGATCAATTTTTTTAAAAAAGCGAATCAGTGGGGACGCCTGGGCGGGTCAGTTGGTTAAGCGGCTGCCTTCAGCTCAAGTCATGATTCCGGGGTCCTGGGATCGAGTCCCACATGGGGCTCCTTGCTTGGTGGGGAGCCTGCTTCTCTCTCTCCCTCTGCCTGCTTGTGCCCTCTCTCTGTCTCTGTCAAATAAATAAATAAAATCTTAAAAAAAAAAAAAAAGCGAATCAACGTAAAATCCTGTGTTCTGAGGCTGCCACAAGCCGTTGATATTTCTTGTTCGTTGTTTTAGATGTGGTTGTCAAAGAGATCACATTTACTACTTCCTGGACAAATCCAACCTCTCTGAAGGTAAGGGGAGGTGATGGTCAAGATAACTAAATGCATTATAATTTTCTGTGGATTACTGTGTGCAATCACATATTTAAACAAATTGCTGGTCTGAACCTTTATTATAGCAATTATTATGGATGGTCTGGAAAAAGTATGGATTTGTTAATCAGTCTTGCCATTTGCTACCTCATGGCCTTGAATGTGTCCCTTAACTTCACAAGAATTCAGTTTTTCACCTGTAAAAATGGGGATGATGACAATGTATATGTCATTGGTTTTCAGGGGAGAAGAAATGCATAAAGAAGTATCTTCCTGGGGCGCCTGCGTGGCTCAGTGGGTTAAAGCCTCTGCTTTCAGCTCAGGTCATGATCCCAGGGTCTGGGATCAAGCCCCTTATTGGGCTCTCTGCTCGGCAGGGAGCTTGCTCCCCCCACCCCCTGCCTGCCTCTCCTCCTGCTTGTGATGTCTGTCAAATAAATAGATAAATTATTAAAAAAAAAAAGTATCTTCCTTAAAGAAAACAAACCTGAGAACTAGAAAGTTTACTATTCTAGAGCAGTTTCCAGGTGGGGAGGGGGTCTCTTCGGACAACCACAAAGACCTAACCCTCTGCCCTTAGTTAGCTTAGACTAAAGACACCATCAAGGCAGGCTGAAACATTTAATTAAGACTTAACTATCATGTCATAGGGAAATATACAGAAAAATTACATATAGGGAAATGCTGCATGAATCGGACAAGATACACCTTCTCCTTGGGAACTACAGATGTACTTCATTTGGCATACAGGAAATGATTCCACCCAGAGAATTCCTTCTTGCTTATTCCTGGCCCCGTGCCTTTGCCCAGGAGTACATCCCTGCCTATCCCAAAATCCAGTTGGAGAGGGAAGCACAACAGCAAACCTTATCTTTTCAGTCAAGGTGGGTTGACAGGAGTGGTGTTTAAAGATTTTATTTTTTAGTAATCTCTACACCCAACATGGGGCTTGAACTTAAAACCCTGAGATCAAGAGTCATACACTCCACTGACTGAGCCAGGGAGGTAACCCTCCATGTTGTCCTTTTTTTGTCTCATTCAGTCTCCCATTGGGGGAAAAAAAAAAAAAAAATCAGAATTTTGAAGCCACTGCCTTAATCCTTTCCAAAAATTTTAACAAATTGATTTCCCTGAGACTCACTCGTGTTTTTAAAATTCACATATATTTGGGTGCCTGGGTGGCTCCATCAGTTGGGCCATTGACTCCTGATTTTAGCTTAGGTCGTGATCTTATAGGTAATGGGATTGGGCTCTGCTCTCAGCAGGGATTCTGCTTGAGATTCTGCCCCTCTGCCCCTCCCCCCACTCATGCTCTTGTGCATGCTCTCTCTCAAATAAAATCTTAAAAATAAAATTAATATATATTTACTTAAAGTAGTACAAGTATGTCATCTTATAAGTCTAATTATTCTACATGTTTTATAATAAAAAACTGCAGTTACCTGTCTCTCCCCTGAATTCTGATTCCTGCTTCCCAGAGGCATCTACCCACTTTCTGCTATTTTCTGTTCTTATAACCTCCTCATTTGCAACTAACATGCATTTACTAATATTGCCTACCTCAATCTTTTTTCTTTGGTAAAAGTGCATCTCACAGGTACATGTTTCTGTGCCACAAAGGAAACAACACTTCTACAAGGCTGCAGCGATGCTCCATGTCCCCATCCAACAGAACTTGCTGAAATTTCCAGCCAGGCTGACATTCCATCCGGTGCGCACTCCAAGTAAAGCTGGTTAAAGATCATTGTGCAGGGGCACCTGGGTGGCTCAGTTGTTGGGCGTCTGCCTTAGGCTCAGGTCATGATCCCAGGGTTCTGGAATGGAGCCCCTCGTTGGGCTCCCTGCTCAGCAGGGAGTCTGCTTCTCCCTCTCCCACTCCCCCTGCTTGGGTTCCCTCTCTCACTGTGTCTCTCTCTGTCAAATAATAATAAAAATTAAAAAAAAAAAGTCACTATGCACAAGTGCAGGACTCGAAGCTTTCAAAGCTTGACTTTTTAAAATCAGCACTCCTCATTTTATAAACCATGAAGCCCATCAACCCCATTCTTACCCAAATCTCATGCTAAACTTGGGTATAGTGGGATTTCATGGGGATCCAAACACTGTTAATAAGGCTTTGAAGCATCTCAGCACAGCATCACCAACTAAGGCTGCCCTGACTCACATGGCCAATTACTCAGAAAGGTTCAAGCCTACTTTAGTCTTGTTCCTTTTTTCAAATTGAATTGGAAGGATGCAATAAATTATATATTCTTTAGCTGAAATCTCAAATCCATCTATGATGTTTCCCAGAGCCTCAGTGATTACCACTATAGACTATGTACTTAAAATGCTTCCCTGTATTATTTATTTCAAATAGGCAACAGCTTTCTTTTCTTAAAATTCTAGACTCTCAATTAATGGCCACTTTATGGTTGCTTTTGTTAAACTATGTGCACTTTATTTTTTTTTAAGTTTATTTATTTTTTGCAGTAATCTCTACACCCAACGTGAGACTCAAACTTGGGACCTGGAGATCAAGAGTCACAAGCTCTTTCAACGCAGCCAGCCAGTCACATCCGTGACTCCAGTTCACCCTGGTTGAACTTTGACAACCAGTAGTACTTACTCATGCTTAGAGCTTGGGAAAGAGGTTGGGTGAGGGTATCCATCAATTACACTGATCGTAGAGGGAAGAATAACATTTCCAAAATAGAACTGCTCCTGGTAATAGGACATCCCTTTCTGGTTTGAGTCTGTATCCCTGCTTTAGAATCTAATTTGAATTGGCATCCATTTCTGCTAACAATATTTTGACTCAGAGCATCATTCTAAAAGGCATTCCCCAAAAACCATTGGCACTTCCTGTACGGTGTGGTCCATTGAGTTGATGAGAGAGAGAGCAGAAGGGAGATCTTTCTCTTTATAAACATAAATAACAATAATAAAATAGATTTTATTTATTAAATCGACACTACACATATTATCTCATGTGATTCTCACAACAACCAAATCAGGTAAAAATATTTTAACCCCCGCTTTACAGCTGATGAAACCAGAGGTTAAGAATAACTTGGTGATAACAGCAGCGAAGGCACTGGCAGAGCAGGGCTTTATACCTAGGGAGTCTGACTCCAGAGACCATGCAGCCACTATGCTGTACTTAACATGAACCATGTTTAGACTCTAGAAATCTTACTAATCAATGAAAACAGGGCAGACTGTCACAAAGCAAAACCTATCTCCCAGTGAGAGGTGGGTTGCAACACATACGCATGAGCAATAATAAGCCGCAAAAGCAGGCTGCAGTAAGCTGATTTAATAGTTGTAGTAATGGCACACCTTAAATTTTATCAAGTAGCCTGCATTTTATACCACAGCTTGCTTACAAGATAACCATGAATTATGAGGTATCCTTGAGACCCATGAAGGATATAAGATTCTACAACATACTGTAAATAACATGGCAGTAAAAAAATAAGCATTAAATCTGTCATCAAAGATTAAGATGATCATATTTGGTAGAGAATTTTGTACATTTTATTCCAGCTCCTTCTTTTCATAAGAGGCCAAAGAAATAAGTGACTTGCCCAAAACCAGGTGCCCTGGCTAATTAGCACCAGGGCTGTTCTCAGAGCTCTGGTCTCCTGGCTCCTATTCCAATGCTCTTTCCCTGTTGTGTCCATGACTACGCAGAAAGTGTGCTCCCTCTGAGAGTGCGACAGCCTTCCTACATGAGACTCAGAGATGCTTGGGTGGCTGGTTTTGGTGAACATGACCTCTCGTTAAGGTTTCGGTAGGGAAAAGACATCTTGGTTGAGTGCTCTTCCTCATGCAATGTACAGGACAGAAAGGACTTGAGCATCCCCCTCCAAAGCTGACCCATTTCTTCTTGCTATCCCGGAGTCTGACTCCACAGCTACTGCCTGACGCGACTGAGAACGCAAAAGAGTTTTGGTATGGAGGCAGCAGGTGGGGGGTGGAATTTGGATGAGCCATTCTTAAACCCGTCCAAAGAAATCTTAATGGGGGTATGCTTTTGATATTGGTAAATCTTGTCTGTGGAATATACAGATACACAGAACACGAACTCTGCTTGTTAAGGAGCTTGAACTGTGATGACAGAGGCAGAGCTCCAGCAGCTCAGCTGACTGGTGTGGTGTGGACCTATTAAGAGCATGGCTTTGGCCCAGAGCAAACGTAAGAAAAAGGATATGGCAAATAGTCTAGGCAGGAGCATTTTTCTTTTTCTTCCTATTTATTTATTTATTTATTTATTTAGTTTTAAGATTTTATTATTTATTTGAGAGAGACCAAAAGCGAGAGATATCACAGAGGGAGAGGAAGAAGCAGACTCCACTGATCAGGGAGCCTGACTTGAGGCTCTATCCCAGCACCCGGGGATCATGACCTGAGCCAAACGCAGACCATCTGGGCCACCCAGTCACCCCTCCTTTTTCTTTTTAAAGATTTTATTTTATTTTTTAAAAGATTTTATTTATTTACTTGACAGACAGAGATCACAAGTAGGCAGAGATGCAGGCAGCGAGAGAGAGGGGGAAGCAGGCTCCCCGCAGAGCAGAGAGCCTGATGCGGGGCTCGATCCCGGGACCCCGGGACCATGACCTGAGCCGAAGGCAGAGGCTTTAACCCACCGAGCCACCCGGGTTCCCCTAAAGAATTTATTTTTAACTAATCTCTGCCCCCAACGTGGGGCTTGAACTTATGACCCCAAGATCAAAAATGGCATGCTCCACCCATGGAGCCAGACAGGTGCCCCAGGAATGCTTTTCTTTCTTTCCTTTTTAAATTTTTAAAAACTAATTAATTTATTTATTTATTGGGGGAGAGAGAGAGAGAGAGAGAGAGAGAGAGAGCAGAAGGAGGGTCAGAGGGAGAGAATCTCCAGCAAACTCCCTGGGGAGCCTGACTTGGAGCTCAGTCTCATGACCCTGGGATCATGGCTTGAATTGAAATCAATAGTTGGAAGCCTAACTGAATGAGCCATGCAGGTGTTCCCCCAGGAGCTTTTAGAATTTAAGAGCATTTAGAATGCTTTTCTAAACCCCTGGGTCACCAATATGGCTAGCCCATTTTCTATGCTTTGTTATCTCCTCCAGCTTGTTGTACCTACTCCATCAGCTCCCCACCTTCCTTATTGGACACATAGGTTTCAGCTACAGTCTTCACCCTCAAGTGTCATCTTTACTGACTGAGAGTTGGCTAGCAAAATTCCTCCCATGGTTTGGTCAGTGGCTCTGTTATTCTTTGGCATAAAGCCCTTCTTTACCTTTGCTATTCTCAAAATGATAGCAGCAACTACCACTAGAAGAAAAAGCACATTATATAAATCAAATTGGGGTACCTGGGTGACTCGGTTGGTTGAGCATTTGATTCTTGGTCTCAGCTCAGGTTTTGATCTCAGGGTCATGACTCCAAGCTGCACCCAACATGGAGCCTATAAGAAGGAAGGAAGGAAGGAAGGAACGAAGGAAGGAAAGAAGGAAGAAAGAAAGAAAGAAAGAAAGAAAGAAAGAAAGAAAGAAAGAAAGAGGCAAGCAAGTTGAATCCAGCAATATATTAAATAGATTTTACACTGTGACCAAGTGGAACTTATCCCAGAAATTCAGGGTTGGCGCAACACTTAAAAAAATCAGTGTAATGTATCATTATTAATAGAGTTAAGGACTAGAACCACATGATCATCTCAATTAACATGGAAAAAGCATTTGGCAGAATCCCAGACTATTTATGATGAAAACAAAATCAACCAGGTATAGAAGGAATTTTCTCAACCCAATAAAGAGTATCTGTTGAAAACCCCCCGGCTCCCCTCATACTTAGTGATGAAAGACTAAAAACTAAACAGGGATGTCTCATCTTGCTATTTCTATTCAACACTATACTGGAAGTTCTAGCCTAAGAAATTAGACAAGAAAACACAAGGCACCTAGAGGGGAAAAGAAGAAATAAAACTATTCACAGATGATACGATATTATACTCGGAAAATCTTAAGGAAGCCATCAAAAATTTTGGAAAAATTAGCAGCAAGGTTGAAGGATGCAAGATTAACATACAAAAATCAATCATATTTCTCTGCATTAGCAATGAACAAAATGAAATTTAAAACAATTGAATTTGGGGCATCCGGGTGGCTTAGTTGGTTAAGCTTCTGACTCTTGGTTTTAGCTCAGGTCATGATCTTGGGGTCATGAGATTGAACCCCACATCAAGCTCCACACTTAGTGTGGAGTCTGCTTGTGATTCTTTCCTTCTCCCTCTCCGTCTGCCACTCATGCTCTCTCTCTCTCTCTCTCAATCTAAAAGTAAATAAATAAATAAAATCTTTAAAAAGCCAATTGAGGGTGCCTGGGTGGCTCAGTGGGTTAAGCCTCTTCCTTCAGCTCAGGTCATGATCTCAGAGTCCTGGGATCGAGCCCCGCATCGGGCTCTCTGCTCAGCAGGGAGCCTGCTTCCTCCTCTCTCTCTCTGCCTGCCTCTCTGCCTGCTTGTGATCTCTGTCAAATAAATAAATAAAATCTTTAAAAAAAAAGCCAATTGAATTTACAATCATATCACAAAGAATAATTAGGAATTAACAGAAGAAGTGCAAGATTAGTACACTGAAAACTGTAACACATTGTTGAAATAGATTAAAGAAGACTTAATGGAAAGACATTTCATATTCATGGATTGGAAGATTCATATTGTTTAAATGGTAATACTCCTCAGGTTGATTTATGGACTCAATCCCTATCAAAGTTCCAGTG